CTCCTCTGTCCGGGTTCCTGGCTTTTTATCCCCTTTCTCCTGCTCTTCCGGCCTGCTACTCTGGGCGGGCCTGAGTTGCCTCTCCTCACCTAATCCCTTCGGCTGACTGCTCTTCTCTCTGGCTTCCTGGCTTTTAATCCCCTTTCTTCTGCTCTTCTTGCTTGCTACTTCGGGCATCCCTGAGTTGTCTTTCCTCACCTGTAACCCTGGGGCTGACTGCCACTTTCAATATTAATTGATGTATATTTCTGTATAGTACACCCTACTTAAGATATGTTGAGGAAGTTGTCATATATTTGCTAGGATCATTTACAGTAATCAACATTTATCAGAAAAGAACCCTCAGCTTTGCCTGGAAAATTTACAGAAATGGGAACAGCTGGAGTCAATAAGAGGACCACTACAGGGGAAAGTCAACTTCATTTGGCTGCCAGAAGAGGAACTTTATCTCTGGTGAAAGCATTAATAGAATGTAGAGCAGATGTGAATCTAAAAGATAATGCAGGTTTGAATCCTTTTCATTTTAAATGTTCAAATTATAAAATTTGAACTCATTGACATTTACATTTCATACCTCCCCTCCTCAATTTTGATCTTTGCTGATATAGTATGGCTAACTTTGAATAATCTTTGTAATAATGTATTATTATTTAGTTGAATAGTAAGATCTAGCTTGGTGTCTCTCTGGTGGCACAGTGCCTCGGGCATTTGACTGCTAACCAGAAGGTTGGCAGTTCAAACCCTCCAGCCACTCTGTAGAAGAAAGCTGGGTCAATCTACTTCCATCAAGATTTACCACCTTGGAAACCTAATGCGGATCACTATGAGTCAGAATCGACTTGATGGCATTGGGTTTGGTTTTGGTGTTTTGGATCTTGGTGTCTCTTCAATTGCTGAAATAACTTCTATTTTGAAACAGTTTTTTAACAGCTTTAACATTGGGAGGGGCTACACAGAATTGGAGTAAGGGGACCTTTACTTATGCCCTTTCTTTGGAAGCATTAATTCCATACCCTAACTTTGGAGAGAATGCACACTTTTCCTCATTCGCTGTCCCCCCTTCTCTTTCTTCCTTTCTTTATAGTGTTCCTTTTTGAACCTTTCTTTTACTTTTATCCTAAACCTCCATTTTTAAAATAGATATTAACAGTTAAATCAAGCACAAAAGAGTCTTGTCTAAGGAATTCCAGAGGGAAAAACTTTAAAAGTTTGAGTCAAATGTTATTTTAAAGATAAATATGACAGTGGAAAAATACAAATATGAAATTCAGACATGAATCTTATTCTGTCTTAATCCCTGAGTTTAAACAAACGGACATGGTTAGTGTTCACTCTGGTCCCATTATATTTTGTGTTCTTTGAGTCTTCTGTTTTGGCATTTGTATTAACAAGTATTTGTGATGAGATTGATTTGTTTGTCAAAATTGAAACTTCTAAATTTAAAGGACATATTTTTCAGTAATACTTTCTATCCAATAATTAGCATATACATATAAATCAATACAGATTATTCTGTTAATGTAAAGAAACTTAGTGATAAAGAGATCACATGAAAGTTGATTTATAAGCAGCAGCATGTCTTTCCCCCCCACACCTTTTTTTAGGTTGGACACCACTTCATGAGGCATCCAGTGAGAGATCTAATGATACAACTGTAGAGTTATTAAAAGCTGGTGCTAATGGTAATAGTGAAAATCTAGATGGAATTCTGCCCTTACATGATGCTGTTACGAACAGTCATTTAAAGGTACAGTGCACATCAGTTTAGTTTCCTACTTTTCGTACTAAAATGAAAATAAACTAAAGTGATTCCTCAAAACAAGTTATGTTAAAAACCTGCTTAAAATTACAAATGAAAATAAGATACTGTGTATGAATTGAAAAATCAGTGTGGTTCTTAATGAGTTAATTTTCCATTCCCTCTTTGTCACGTAATTCATTTAAATCAGAATAAAATGAAAGAACTCGCTATAAACACATGAATCTAATGCCTGTTGTTCCTAAAGTTTACAAGGCTGTAAATTTTATTATTATTATTATTATTATTATTATTATTATTATTATTTGGGTGCCCAGCAAATTGATTTTCCATTCAACAATCCATACATACTCTGTTTTGTGATATTTTCTGCAATCCTTACACTGTAACAGCATTCTTCCTACTTCCTCCCTGTGCCCCCCCTTCCATTTGTCCTTCCTTTTCATCTGCTTCTGCCTTCCTAGCTCTATCCCTGGGCAGTTGCTGTCCTCTTAATCTCATATGCTTGATTGTTCTAGTGAGTGCATACCCTCCTGATATTACCAGTCACTTTATAGGTCTTTGTAACGTTTGGCTGACAGTTGAGTCATGGGGATTAAGTTCCTAGTTTGAAGGGCCATAGTTTCAGGGGTGCCACCAGTCTTCCTCAGACCGGTAAGCCTGGCCTTATTTATGATTTTTAGTTTGTTCCACATTTTCTCCAACTCTATCGGCACCTCTTACTGTGATCCCTTTCAGAGTAGTCAGCAGTGGAAGCTGGGCACAATATAGTTTTTCTGGTCTCAGGACTGTGGTGGCTAAGATTCATGTACTCCATTAGTCTTTTGGATTATTTGTTTCCTTATGTCTTTGGTTTTCTTCACTCTTCTTTTTTATCAACAGAGAGAGACCAATAGTTGCACCTGAGATGGCTGCTCACAAGTTTTTAAGACCTCACTGCTTACCAAAGTAGGATGTAGAACATCGTCTTCATGGACTGTTTTGACAGTTGACCTTAGTGTCTCCCAAGACTATGGTCCTCAGCCCCCATACCCAGTGACTCATACCCTCAAGGTGTTTTGTTGTGACTAAGATGTTTTTATAATTTTGCCCCTTTTTGTGTGTCTGTGTTCTATATTCATGGATATATTTCCAGCACATACAAATACATAGGTAGAGATAGCCTCTGTCAGATATATATATTCATGGATGTTGTCCCATTCACCTTACAACCACTGTTCAGATTGAGTGTCTGTCTATGTATCCACTCATAAATTATTGCTGTTACTGTTATTTCAGGATTGTGTATATAGTAGTATTCACCTTTGTTGCTTTAACTCTTATGCTTCACACTGTTTTCTACTGCCTTGATCATTTTGAGCTGACCTCCCATTTATTGTATACTTCCTTACCCTTCACCCAAATTAGTATGTGTCTAGCCTCTAGTTGATGCTTTTCCCTTCCTTTCCCCTCCCCCATCTCTGGTAACCTTCAAAGAATGATTCTTTCAGTGTGCATTTCTTAACATTTTAGAGTAATGGTCTTATATAATAATTGTCCTTTTGTGATTGACTAATTTCACCCAACATAATGTCTTCTAGGTTCATCCATGTTATGAGGTGTTTTGCAGATTCATCATTATTCTTTAACATTGCATTGTATTCATATTCATAGTTTATTTACCTTGCATCTGTTGATGGGCACTTAGATTCTTTCCATTTCCTTGCTGTTGTGAATAATGCTGTGATGAACATGGGTGTGCATATATCTGTTTATGTCATGGCTCTTATTTCTCTAGTAGGGGGATTGCTGGATTATATGGTATTTCTATTTCTAACTTTTTAAGGAAGTGCTATACTGCATTCCACAATGGTTGTACCATTTTGCAATCCTACCAGCAGCATATGAGGGTTTTAGTTTCTCCACACCCTTGCTAGCATTGGTTGTTTTCTGTTTTTTTTTTTTTTAATTTGCTATTAGTGCTGGGGTGAGATGATATCTCATAGTTGTTTTGATGTACATCTCTCTAATGGCTAATGGTTGTAACCATTTCTTCATGTGTTCGTTAAAGGCTGTAAATTTATATGGATTCAGAATGCCACATCTTACTTCTGTGGAGTGGCTAGTGTGTCTGAGCCATCAACCTTTTGGTTAGCAACCAAATGCTTAACCACTGTGCCACCAGGGATCCTTATCAATCTAATACCTTCCATTTTCAAGTGTCTAAAATGATTTATTTTTGTGCACAAGAAGATCCTAATTATGATGTACAGGTGACAGCTAGATTTTTTCAATTCAAAATTTCTCTAGTAGGGTTTTGTATTTCAAAGAAATAGGTAAAAGCAGTTGCTTTTTTCCTGGGGAATTTTGTTGTGTTTTTTTCCCTGTTTTCTGCATCAGGTAACCATGGTAAAAATAGCACAGCAAAAAGATGAGTCCTTTTAAAAGAAAAGAAACAGTCTCCTGCTGGCATGAAAGAAAACAGCCATTTTGTGAACTGCCTATGAAGTCCATGTGGAAAGGAACTGCAGGTAGCTTCTAGGAGTTGAGAGTGGTCCCCAGCTTACAGCTACCAAGGAAACAGGAAGTACCTCAATCATACAACTGCAAGGACATAAATTCTGCCAAAAGCCAGTGAGCTTGGAAGAGGACCCTAAACCTTAGATGAGAATCACAGTCCTAGTTGATACCTTAATTTCATTCTGGTGAGACACTAAGCAGAGAACTCATGACACCATGCTCAGACTTACAACCTACAGAACTGTGAGAGGATAGGTTCTTGTTGTAAGCCCCCATGTTTGTGGTAATTTGCTATGCAGCAATAGAAAACTAGTGTGTTCCACATGTTCAAGAATGTAGAGGAAAACAGAAACATAATGAGACATAAAGCAAGATTAAAACTTCTACAGATTAAAATAATATTAACTGAAATGAAATATTCATCAAATGGAATTAAGATCATATAAAATACTAAAAAGCAAATGATCAGTAAAATGGAAGATAAAGCAATAGAAATGATCCAACATGAAACACAAGGAGAGAAGAAAGACTTAAAACACAAAGTAAGCAGCATCAGGACAATATCAAGTCACATAACATATATGAAATTGGCATGCTCAAAAGGAGAGGGCTGGTCAGAAAAAATAATAATAAAAGGCCAAAATTTATCCAAATTTGATCAAAACAATAAACCCACAAAGCCAAAAGTCTCAACAAATCCCCAGGAGAAGAAACATGAAGAAAACTGCACCAACACATACCATAATCAGATTGCTTAAAACCAGTGACAAAGGAAAAAATCTTAACACTAGCCATAATAATAATAATAAAAGACACAAATATAGAGGGACAAATATAAGGATGATGACTAATTTCTTATCAGGACTTTGCAACCCATTGGACAGTGGAGTAACATCTTTAAAAAGTACTGGAAGGAGAAAAGCCTCGTCAATCTAGAATTGCATGTGCCGGTGAGTTTTCTCTGACTCATAGCAACCCCTCCTTGAGTTTCTGAGGCAGTATGTCTACAAAAGTAGATTTCCCAGGCTTCCTTCCAAGGAGTGGCTGGTGGGTTTAAACTGCCAACCTTCTGGTTAGCAGTCAAGTGCCTTAGGCACTACGCTGCCAGGGCTCCCAGAATTGCATACACAGCAAAAATATCTTCTGACAGTAAAGATGATATTGGCAAGGACACAGAGAAATTAGAATCCTTATATACTGCTGGTGGAAATTTAAAATACTGCTGCTGCTATTGTGGAATATAGTTTCATAGTTCCTAAGAAAGTTAAACATAGAATTACCACATGAACCAGAAATTGCACTTCTAGGAGAGAATTGAAAACATATTCATACAAAAAACTGCGTATTAAAGTTTACAGCACTGTTATTTAGAAGCAGATCTCTGATTTCCAAGGCTCAGAGGTTTGAGGGAGGGTGTTGACTACAGAGAGGCATGAGAGATGTTTTTGTGATGATGGGAAGTTTCTATGTCATAATTGTAGTAAAGCTAATTTTTCAGTAAAGCTTTTTTTTTTTTTTTGAGAAGCAAGTAAGGAAACTATGCCTTGGCCATCTAATCTTTGGCAAACTTTTTGAGCCTCAGGCAGCCTCATTATATTGTGTAGAACTCTCTCACACCTTTAGCTTAAGCCTTTCCTGTTTGGTGCCTTGCTGCCCTTTTGCTGTTCTCCTAGACTTTTCCTTATCAATGAATATTACTGAAAATCCCATTTTCTCTGAACTGAGCTATCTGAGTTTTCCAAACTGATATATTAATGTTAAATGAATCCATATTATATTAAAGGCCAAGGCCTAAACCAAACCAAACTCGCTGCTGTCGAGTTGGATCCAACTCTTAGCAACCCCTCCTTCCAAGGCAGTATCACTACTGAAGTATATTGCCCAATCTTCCTTCCAAGGAGTGGCTGGTGGGTTTGAACTGCCAGCCTTCTGGTTAGCAGTCAAATCCCTTAGACAGTATGCCATCAGAGCCCCCAAGGCCTATAGGAAGACCTCGTTTAACACGTAGGCGGAGTAGTCATTATTAACATGGCATGAATTTTTAGAGTCTAGAACAGCTTTTTTTTTTTCTTTCTAAAAATTACTTTCTCCTTCCTCCATATGATGTTGAGATAAATTTCTGCAGATTAAGGCACAGATTTCTAGTGTGCTCAATTTATCTCTGGGGATGATCTGAAGAATCTTTATTTTTAATTATTCCACAAGTGGCTTTCCCGATCAATTAAGTTTAGAAATTACTGGACTGATGCACTGCTAACCCCATATTTACAAATGAAAAAGTATATTTTCTTTCTCACAGCCTTACTCAAACTTCACTATGATGTATATATGCAGCTTTCATCAGCAGTCTTTGCAGCAGACTTTTTTCATCTACCATCTCTTAACATAGTGGATTTTTTCACCCCTCTAAAAGAAAGAAGGGATATTAGGGGGATAGTTTCATTAAGAGCCTATTGTACACCAGGTATTTTCCATGGGCTCACATTTGG